CTCTTCCTCTTCTCTAAAGCAGTGCAGCATGGCCTCGCCCCCTTTGCTGCGTGTTCCCAAAGACGGGGTTTATGTAAAATTCTGGGTTCTTGACATAACGAGAGTTTTGAGTAAAAGCGGAATATAAATCTTATTTATTGTCTTATGTAGCATGATGCTAGTTTGCATGAATGGTCACATAACGCGCGCTTTCGGTCGTGTAGTATGAACGGACATCTGCATATGACCGGAACTCCACGCATCTCCTGCGCTACTCTCCATTGGAAATGAATGACTGAATGTCTGTCTGTCGCTTGTCGTTTGTCGGCGATAGTGGAAAGCTGGCTTAATAAATAAAACATTTATTCATGCTTGGGTGTTGGCGGTGAATCCAGTGGAGAGAAAACCCCCACCACTAACTGCAAACTGGCATCTTAGATCTGCCTCCATTTTGTTGGCAATGCCCCAACATCCAACGATCCAATCAATTCCCAAATGACGAAATCAAGTCCTCTCATTTCAGATGCCGTCAAGTATAGGTCTCTGCAGGAAAGTAATGGGAGTTACCAGATCTGGGTGTTTTTAGACCATGTTTCCTGATTGGCTGACGTCATAGTGACGGCAGGTTTAGGGGTGGGGTTTAGGGCTGTGACGGTCACCGTGACTGCCACCGGCGGTAGCGCACGTGACGTCACGCACTCTATAACAAGCATAATACGAAGTTTTGTATACAAGTGTAATAACAGTACTAACAGTAGCGGAACAGTGAACCGTGTCTACACCGGACGCGACACCACCGCGTCGCAACAGGTTGAGTCTGTCTAGTGTCTACACAGGACATTTGAACTCTGTGTCAGTACCTCATAAATAGAACGAGGCAGTTTACTGTCGGGGATTTGTCATGTCGTGTCGTGCCGCATCCAGTGTAGCATCACTGTTTATAATGAGTTTTATAGTATTTTGTCAACATTAGCAATTAATCGCAACATGAAAATTTGATACCGGCATATCCCTAATATATATATATATATATATAATGTATATATATATAATTAATATTAATTATATATAGCCTATATATATATATTTATATCAACACCGCGCCACCGGCGGTAGTTGGTCCATTACCACCGCGGTGGTAAAAATCTGCCACCGTCGCAGCCCTAGTGGGGTTAGGTAAGGGGGATAATTTTGATCGTATGATTGAGAAACACCCTGCAGTTTGAAAACATCCACAAATTCAGAAATGCCCACTTTTGCTCTGCAGAGACCTCAATCTCGATGCTGTTTCACTCAGATATACGTCACAGTAGAGA